TTGACTGGAGACATTCAACCTAGAATCATTCCACTTTGCAAACAATTACACAAAAGCATCAGCATAGATTTCATCAAAGAATGGATCTGCTACAGGAACCCCGTAAGATACTGGTGCTCAGCAATTTATTCTTTTGACAGGATAAAGGTCAGGGGATCTCTGTCCCAGAGGAGGGTGTGCTATGCACATACTACATGGCTGCTACTAATCAATCACAAGTAACTGAACACACCAGAGGAAGCAGAATGAGCACTTATAGCATACGAGCACAGTAAGAACAATACAACATTTTTTACAAGCCATCAGACAACTGAGCTAACACAGCCTAGCTAATGAATGAAACACTGGAGAGCAAGGCTAGGAGGCAGCGTGGCAGGTTCTTCAAATAAAATTAAGCCTTCAGGAAAGTCACTATTAATATTCTGAAAGGAGTACACCCCCCCATCAATCATACTGGCAGAGGACACTTGTCCTGAGTTCCACTAATGAGGAGAAAGAAGGAACAACAGACACGAACTCAATTATCGTATGCTCAGATGGGAAAAATGACACTGCCGGAGGAGAAATCCCAAACGTGCTCCTCTGACAGACAAGGCACAGGGAGCGACAGATAGTGGACAACACATCAGACATCTTATGTTGCAGGCTCGTAGCCAAGCCCACAATATTAAGAATAACAAGCAATCCGATGGTTGTTTAGAATTTTTTGTTTTCTATATAGGACTAAAAGGAAATCATAATTCAAACACGGCAAATATCACCAGTTATAAGAGGCTGTTTCCTCACAAGGAACTGTGGCCTCCCTCAAGCACTCCCTGTCTGGAGCTACTCCGGTTTGTCACGGCATGATACTATCTTTTGAGGGAACAATCTGGAATCATTTAACATTCCCAGAGGTGCAACTCTGTAGCTTACCCAAACAGAAGAGATATTGCTGAGGTTGGAAGTTTACCATGAAAACGCCAGATTTACCCAGGAAACCACTCAAGAACATCTCAGGCAGATAAATACATGTTATTCCAGCCAGCATAAGTGTTTCTTAAAGCAACACCCAGTTCAGAGGCTCTTCATCACCACATCAGCTTCAGAAAAGGAAACTCTTAGGGGTTGTAGAAAAGACAGGCAACCCTCCTTGCAGAGAAGAAGCAGACGCCCGAGTCCGCAGCTGACGGAGCAGCCTGCTCCACGGGGCTGCGAGATGCTGCCAGCCCAGCTGAATGCAGCTGTGCCAGAGGAGAGCAGGTTCCTCCACACTGTACCACTTGCTCACTGCAAGGCTTTCCAGACCTCAGGCAAAGGAAATCAGGCAACCAGCTGCACAGATGAAGTCTTACCCTGCTGTCCATGATGTGCCAGGTAATCGATACCGTCTGCCCGGACAGGACAACAGGGTTGCAGAGACATTCACCTCACGAAACGTCAAAGGATCACCATAGCTGGCACTCATGGGATATTTCCAGTTGTACTTGCAATAACTGCTCGCCTTCCAAGAAGACATTCATTAGGCTATAACTTTCCATAACACACATTTGGAAGTTTTAATGACAGACAATTCAGAGCACCTTCTGAAACATGATGTCCCGAAGGTGCACATACAGAGTCTCACAAAGTAAGCCCAAACCACATGCATTTCCCTAAGTCGATGCTTTTCTAACTATCGCAAGCAGCAGACACTGTGTTCGAGCACACTGTGTGGGTGGCAGCATGACTTGGAATGTTTTTGAGCTCAAGCATCGTACCGAGACATGAGATACTCTGGACGAAATGCAGTGTATTTGAATCCGTGCAGTGCCATTCACAGCATAATTTGTACAGGTAGAAACTGCCTTTGCAATCTGAGCCCAACCATACTAACACATTAGCCAAAACACAACTCGTACCTCTCACCGCTAACTAGAAACGTAATGACTTATCACTGAAACAACATCCACGTATCACTGAACACAACAGCTGTGTCATGGAAAAAGAGTAAGAGTGAACACAAGCACACAATCTTATCTTGTTTCCTAATTAAGAACTTGCATTTATGGGCTCTCTGACATTAATAGGATAAAAAGGAAGAGCAGTCCTATAAACAGAGGTTGAAAAATACCACTACGTGGAAAGAACAAGACCCCAAGTGTGTCTGCACAAAGTCCTTTCACACATTTTTTTTTTCAAATGTACTGCCTGATCAGCATACAAAACCATGAAAACACTGTAAGACATTACCTTGATGCGGACAGACATTTTACCTTGACAAACCTCTAGTTCATTTCTTGCAGTCTCCATACAGTGGGAACCTGCTACAACCCTCAAAGGTTCTTATTTGCATGGTGTCACAATAAAGACACTTCGTCCTGCCTCAGAACACTGCTATGAAGACTTAGATAACTATGAGTGGAAGTTAAGGCTGATTGATTGATTATTTTAGCAAAAGCATGCTTGCACCCTGCAGCATGAATCAACCAGGATTGCTTTCCTTCTAAGGCATCACGATGGGAAGCCAATAATCCCTATCCCAGTGGGTAGCCTAACTGAAGATGCAATGAGCATTTTGCTTGGTTTCCAGGTGTTTACTTGCTTCTGCCTCTCTGCATAATAGCCCACTGCACAGAAAATTCAGCTCTGCCTCCCCTGAGAGCCACTAGAGCCAAAGGCAGCTGGGTCTACACTATGCATTCTCAGTTCATCGGGAGGGCATTAAGGGCTTACAGATCTCTCTCAACTTGGCCCTGAAAAGAGGAAGACCGCAGCAGGAGGGAGGATACCTCCATTCTGAGAGCAAGGCAACTTCCAAAA